TGAGGGGGCCGTGGTTCCCCCCCCCCTCCTCTCCTGCCTGCCTTCTCTCTGCGCCCACCTTTTCCCAGGTGGCCGCCGAGCTGCTCCCCTCTCTCCCTCCCATCGCTGATGCTCCCAACGGTCCCGCCGGGGTCCCCCCACCCCCAATGGAAGTCCCCACCGAGGGAGGGGCGCCATCCCTTGCTCGGCCGCTGCCTCCCCGGGACTCTCCCGGGTGTGAAGGGAGGGCAAAGCGGGGGTGTCCGAACCCTTTCCCAACCCTTTCTGGTCCCAGATGCGAGGGAGGAGATCGGAGACGAGCGACCGCACCGCGCTCTGTTCATGCTCAGAGACAGGGCTCTCTCCCGCCCTCACCCTCGGCATTCCTGGGCTCCCGCGAAATGAATCCTTCTCTCCATCAGCGGGAACGGGAGGCGCCTCTGAGCATAAGCCGACAGAGCCGTTCCCGGGGGGGGGCATGCATGCACGGACACCCGCCCGCCCCACTCATTGACTGCTGCCCTCCCCCCCTCTTTCTCCCGTGTAAGCCTGCGCTGAGGCTGAGCGTTTCCAGGAAGGAGGCGCGCCCGCTCCGCATTTCGGGGAAAGCGAAAGCGGTCGGAAAAAGAAAGGGAAAGGGGGCCGCCCGGGCTCCCCGCTCCCGCCCCCCCTCGCCAGGCTGGAAAGCGGATCCGTTTTCCCTTGGGGTCGGTCCCTAGTTTAATCCTCCCTTTGCCTTTGCCTCGGGCAGGTTCCCCTCACTCCTCTTGCAAGGGGCTGGGGCTGGGTCAGAGGAGCCCCGCCCCCAAATGACACCCCCCCCATTTCATTCTCACAACAGCCCTCCCTGCGAGGTCGGCCTGGCTGGCAGACAGTCCCACCAGGGAGGATGCTTAGCCCCTGAGGAAGTGGGCAGCGCCCCACAAAAGCTGCCGCCTGAGGACACCATTTTCACAAGGCAAAGGGGATGGCCAACCAGGGGGAAAGGCTACTAGCTCAGAGCGCAAGCCAAAGTGACTGGAGGACTGCTGAGCAGCCCCTAGGGCAGAAAAGGCTGGGCTGCCTCCCAGCCCTCCCAGCCCTCCCAGCCC